TAGTGTTTCTGTGATTCTATGATTCTGTGATTTTGCCATTCTTTCAGGGTGAATGATTAATTTTCATAATATCCTAAGGTATGTGTGTAAAGCAGTCAGCTAGAAGAGCCACACTTAAGCTTTTAAAGGGGACTATGTTCCCTAGGAGACTTAATTGTAAAATAATTCACAGTTCTCAGTGGTTTTTTTCTAAGTAGTGCTCTGGACACTGGATAGTGTCCACTTATGTCATGTGGGTTGCCCATTATGGGGATGGAGCTACGACAGAAGTTGTGTAATGGGCTGTCTTTAAGGAGTGCTGTTAGAGTTGTATTGGCAGCAAAGAGATGTTCTGAAGTTCGTAGGGTTACAGAAGGGTTGGCCTCAGTTGCAAATTTCTGATGATTCCAAAGAAATTAAGTAGTACGTTTGGCTTTATACTCCTCCGACTTCTTGACTACTAGGGATTCTGTCTGCCTATACACTCATAAGAAATGTTTAACTGGTGCACAAGCACAGGTATCAAACAGATTTGGCTGTCAGCTGTTTATTTGCTCAGTGAGCTTATGTTTCCAACACACCTGCCTTTGTTAAAACACTGTGCAGCATTGCTCTGTTCTAATCTTCGTTTGTGTCTTGATGCCTTGCTGCCTCTGACTCAGCCACATAATTTGGTGATGAACTGTCTCTGAGTGATTAGTCAGTGGTGACAACCGAGCCACATGCAAGCATTACAAGGCTTTTAAAGACGATGATGCTAGATCAGCTTGATATTTTGGAGTATGTGAATCTTTATTTTGGGTTTCGGGGATTGGTTGGTTGGTTGGTTTGGTGAGGGGTGTTGAAATTTTTTCTTATGGACAGTTTCGCCTCTTCCACTGCCCTGCATAATTTCAAAGCTTAATCTCATACATTATTCCAAGCATTGACTTGCAACAACAGCAAAACTTGTAGAGATGTAGCTATAGCTAATATCAAATCATAGAGTTAGTTTGCATTAAAGATGTCTTGTTCATTAAAAAAAAGTGCACGTTTTCTAAGAGGGGAGTACTTATGACATCTTTGGAGTGAGATGTAAATGCTTCCTTTTTTAGCAGTAAGTTAGGCAAAGAGATGGAGAGAGGTATTTATGGAGCTAATATCAGCAAGAAAAGAACTCTATTTACTGGCATGTTCAGTCTTACAGAAGGTTTAATATCCTATTTGAAGAGGCAAGCTGTGTTTTGGATCTTTTTTGGTTTCTGTTTTGGTTTGATTTTGTAGTGAAGTACCCGGTCAACAGATGAACTTACTTCTAATGAAGTCCCTCGATGCACTGGAAGACTGCTGCTTTGACACGAGTCTGGAGTACAAGTGAGTTTCCTTCATTACTGATGATACTTTGTTCTATTTTGAACTCCACCATTTAATTCATGCTTTTATTCCTTCATTCTACACAGAAGAGCATAAGGATAGGATAGGGAAACAGCCTGTTCTGAGTACTTCCATAGAATCAGCAACTTATGCAGGCTGGCAAGGACCTTTGGAGGTCCACATCCCTCCCCAAAACAGACTCATCCATGTATTTGGACTACGTTGCCCAAGGCTTTACAGTCAGGGTTTGAAATCCCCAAGATTGGAGGCGGCAGAACGTCCTGGGTCCTGGCTCCACTTTTGGGCTGTCCTTATCTCCATGTGAATGTCTGAAGTTTCATCTTGTGCCTGCTGCCTCTCAGCCTCCCACCATGCAAGAGCCCAGCTACATCTCCTCAGTTCTTTCCTGTCAGTGTCAGAGACACTATTGGGTGTCCCCAAAGCCATCCCTTCTCACAGATGAACCAGCTGTCATCCCACAGCTTCTGCTCTCAGGGCAAGGTCTCCAGCTTCCCTGCCTTGGTAGCCTCCCCATGAACTTGTGCCAGTTTTTCTGGTGTCTTTCCTGCATTCAGAGCAGTATTCCAGGTGTGGTGGTGAGCGCATAGTAGAGGGATGATGCTTCCCCTGGCTCTCATGGCAGTGTCCTGCTCTCTGCTGGCCCTCATTGCTGCCTGGGTGCATGTCAGGTCCTGGGTCAGCTTGTTGCCCACCACTGCCCAAGGCAGTTCCCAAAAGGTAATGTCCAGCCCCTCTGTTGCCAGGTGCAGTGTTGCCAGGTGCAGGACTGTGAGTTGGTGCTTGTTGAATTTCAGGATGTTCCTGCTGGTTTAGTCCTCCGTGTAGCATCTCTTCTAAGTGTGTCCATAAATAAATTAATATATAAAAAATACTTTCTATATGAACATATATAAGCGTATGCGTATGTGCATATAGCTAACACACACACAGTTTTTTCCATACAGTCCCTAGTGCAACGTGAAAAGAAGCAATGACCACCACTGCCAATCCCCGCCAAACCACAAGTAAAATCCTTGGGCATGTGTAGAGAACCACACAGTACTGCTCACAGGCAGTGGGAGGATACCAGCAATTCTAGGAGCAGGGTTGCTCATCTTGCTTGCAGATGTTCATTAATGAAAGATGTTTTTGTAAGTCCTTTCTTGGTGCTCTTGGGTGGTTGCCAAGGTGTTCACTGAAGTCTAGCTGCTGCTGCATTGGAGCCTGTTGCTGGAATGTGTGCATGTGTAGAATACAGTGTGAGCTCCAGGAGCAGCCGCCTCATATGGCTTGTGTATCAGGGAGAGCCAGACAGTTAATTTAGCAGCTGTGGATGGCATGCTGAATACTGCCTAAAGCAAATATATTTCATTTAACCAACTGAGATTATGCCTCGGGTGTTTTGAAGAGAGGAGCAGCCCACCAGCAGGGCAAGAAGTTACTGAAAAATACTGCACAACTACTCAGTTATTTCCCTTTTAAATCGTGGAACGAACTGCAGTATCTTGAGTGCTTCTGTGTGCGTGCACAGGGTTTTATTTGATTTTTAACATTATTCTGCCCACCTGTTCCCTGTTCATAGGAAACAGAGCAATAGTTCCTGTTTGCCTTTGCTCTCCCCTTTTCCACCAGACCTTCTGAAAAGCTGCGAGGGGTCACAGTTGCACACCATTGGGCTGTGAACCTGGACAGCTTCATCAGGATTTGGGTTGCCGCGGGAGTGGCACAGGACAAGACCCATGGTGCACAGGCGGCTGTATTGGCTGCATCGCTTTGTTACGGCTGTTGCTGCTTGACTCTGCAACCCATTAGCTGGAGATAAATGCCTCCTAGAGAAGCCAAACTAGACTTCTCTGGCAGTGGGAGGTTGCCAGAAGAATAGGAAACAATGGCAAGCAGGAGAGGGAAGATTGAAGAGTGGGTGGTTTTTATATCATGCCCTCTGCTGTGGGAGCTCTGAGGTTACATTTGACTGGCGGGAGCACAGGGCTTCCCGCACCCTGCCAACTTGTGCCAAGTGGCATGCCCTCCTGACTGTTTTAGAAAAATGTGCCTCTCTCTTCAGTAACGTGCTTCTCTGGGTGTTAAGTGAGACATCTCACAGATTGAAGGATGTTATCAAGATCAAGAGGTTTTTGCTGAATTCTTGTTTCATTTTGTTTTTCTGTCTTGAGTGTCTATATGAGAAAGTGGCTTATCAATGCATGTGCTATGCAAACTGGAGCTCACACAATCGTGCTTCACTGATCATGTCAGCCTTGATAAGAATGTTGGTTTTATATACAATGTTCTTCATTTAATTAGGAGAATTCTCTTTTCAAAATTGGTGGTGTGGGTGGAAGAGGTAAGACAAATGAAGAAAACGGAGTTGTTTTCAATAAACAGTAAGAATCTTTCCCTGAACCAGTGCTTTAGCTTAGTGAGAGTCCAGTTATGTTCCATAAGAATCTCTGTGTCTGTATAAGTTGCATAAAATACTCTAAACCTAAGTTTCCTTTCAGAAAAGATCACTGTGAGAATAATGCTCATAAATCAGTACTCTTATCTGTCATAACCACACAGGGGGAAAAAAAAAACAAAGTGAAACTCCATCTTTTAAAGGGGGAAAAACATTTCAAATGGTTAAGCGTGTTAATGTGATGGTTCTTCAGTTTTTAACTGAGACAGTTTGAGATTGCAGAGTCTTATGAGCTTTGCAGTTATTTTTAATTTTAAATGGTATGCATCGTCAAGAGATCTGTGAGTGGACCTTAAATCTGCTCTTAAGGTAGATGTTAGACAACCTCAAACATATTTTTAAAATATATTGATACACCACTTTTTGGTATGGAAAATGTGCATGACAGATGATTTAGACTGTTCTTTATGCTTCTAGGTTTTGTCAGACTTAATGATTTCAGAAGCCATAGGACAGCTTGATTTTTTTTCTCCCAAGCCTAACGTACATAGAACATAGGTTCAGCAAACATGTACAATCAAGGCTGTTAACTTTTCAAGTATTACATGCAGATTATATTAAATAGATCTTTTTCAGATCAGACTTAGTGTATTGGGAAAAAAATAACTACATAAATCAAAGGCAGGGTTGCAGTTGTAACAGTACAGCATATGGGTAACAAACAGCAGTACATGTGGTCCCTGTGTTGGAAGGTTTTGCTTCCCTCCGCTGCCTCTTCCTGCAAAAAAAGGAAAACGTGTTGAAGATTGTGTTAACTCTGACCTTTTGGAAGGTTTGCATATAAAAAGTTTTTGAGAATACCGAGGGGCAGCGGAGTTTTCTGGCTTGCCTTGTTACATTTCCCATATGGAGGATGAAGTCTACACGATATTTGCAAATACCACTTTCTGTATAAAGTTATTGCGTGGCAGAGCTAGCTTGCATCTGTAAGAATAAATATTGGAGAAATACTGAGGAAATTATAAACACCGATACATGTTGAGTAAAGATGTGGTAAAGAGCAAATTCATATGAAACTTGAAATACACAGTAGTCGTCCTTTAAACTGTTGTGTGGATCATTAAACTGACTTGCTTTTTATGGAGTTTTTTGCAAGGTCAGTAGCTGTTTGATTTGACTTCAAGGCATTTTTAATCAAAACTTTTATATTGCTTTTACAGAAACCTGTCAAACTTGACTGACCTCAGGATTATCAGGAAAATACCAGTTTTCCTTTATCCTAAAATACAAAACTTTCATTTTTGTTCATTAAGTCCTTCATTCTGTGATGTGATTGACTGTACTGCCCTATACGCTGCAAAGTTACACTTTGAGATATATGACAGTAGTACAGTATGTCTGATGCAATGGCACTAAAACACTGAAAACGTGCTGGGAAATCTGAGATACCATGTGGATGAAGTGCATTTAAATACTAATTTTATGTAGATCACAAACAAGGTGGCCAAGTGAAAACAATTGCTAGTTACAAAAAGGGGAGCAGAGGGGGTGAAGCTTTAGTCTTGCTTCAGTCCCCACTTATGTTTTGGGTCTTTGCTAAAAGTCAACTACATAAAAGATTTTAGCTCTAATTAGTAATTTTGTCTTCCTCCTGTGTATTTTTGTCAGCAAGCAATAGTTTAAAATTGTGTATAGAAGTTTTATGTATAAGTTCTGTCCTTATTTTGTTGGCTGTTCATGAACTCAGATATGCCAGTTACTTAAAAATGTTGATTCTAAAGGTTTGTTTCATCTTTGCTGGAAAGAGAAGACACCACTGCCAAGACACCACTCCAAGTCTTCTAGCCATGCTCATCATCTTCATCCCCAGCTGCTGAAAAACACTATCTTATGACTGAAGTTGTTCTCGAAAGTTTCTGATTAAAAGCAGTAACTCCTCTCATTTTTAAGTTGTTTAGCAGAAGCTTAGAAGAATACTTAGGATCCTAGCCACATTCTTTTCACTGCTAGCTACATGCGGTGTCTGCCATCGCATTCTCAGGGAGAAGCACAAGGGGAAAAAAAATCTTCATCTTCACTTAAGAGCTGCTTCTTTAAGCCATTGTGTATATGTGCCAGTGAGAGATCACCTTCAGAGCAGTGAGTATCTGCTGTGCTTTTAGTGTCATGATGGCAGCCAGAACTCTTTGGGAAATTTCTGACAAAACTTTTCAGTATTATGACTGATGACCTGTGGAAACTGAAACTTCTTGTGGGAACAAAGGTGCTGAATTTAGTAAGAGTTCTCTGGTCCAGAATGGAATTTCTGTTCATATCTGAAACAGAGGCAGAGACCGTGAAGCTTTTCATGCCAGGTGCCCTATTGAATTATGTACTTTGAAGCCATGTTCTTCTTTGTATGAAGCAATTTTTTGCGATTTTAAGTATCCTCGGTGTCAAACTGTTAGTTGTGCTCAATATGTCTGCCCTGTTGAAGCTCTTCACTGTTGTATATGCGTATTTTAGTACATATGGTTTAGAATGTATACCTGACAATCATGTTCTGAAATGCAGGTGAATACATTAATCTGTACAGACATTTTAGGTGTTCTCTGGCTCACTCACTCATTTCATTAATTTTGCAAACTGGAACACCTCTTGCAGGAGTCTGAGAGCAACAGACCCTGATACAGCCAGTGGACCTGCAGTTAGTATGTTTACCTGGGATATCAGAGTTTGGGATATCAGTATAAATCAGGGGTAGAAGTTTGGATCCATACTTTCTTCATACTAGTTTATGTGGTTGTTGATGGCACTATTGGTTCTTCAGGAGCAGGAGGAATAATGAGGATGTATGCATAGGATTTATTATTTTAAACACATATTTTCTTCTTTTGCTCTTCTTTCATCCTGTGTCTCACAAAAAGCATCACCTATGTGTGAAATAAAAGCCATTTGTAAAATTGACTGTGTTAAGTAATTATCCACAGGGCTAGTTACCAGGCAAGGCCAAGAGGTCTTTTTGCTCAACAACCCATGTTGGGGTGAAAAGAGAGTTCAGAGCAGCCAAAGCATACTTAATCCTTTTTCTTTTGTCTTCTCTTTAAGCACTGGATGTATTTTGGGAGTAGGACTTGTTCTTTCACTTATGAGTCACAGTAGCCAAACTGAATCTCGAGTGCATGTTTCCACTTCGTTGCGAAAACTCCTTAAATACCTGGACAGCAGTGAGGATCAAAGCAGATGGGTCCAGGAGGTATGACCTATTTTCTCAAAAATTTTACATCTTCATTTTACTTTGTTGCCTTCCTTTAAGAACTATAGACTTTTTACTGAAGCTTTAGGTCTGTAGTACTGGAATGCTTGGTTCCTATTATTTCTTTCACAGTATATGGTTTTATATCTGCTGAAGAAGACAATAAAAATAATAACAGAGTAACTTGTAATGCTGCACAAACATTAAGAAACTGCCTGAAAAGATAACAGGCATCATTCTTTAAAGTGCTTCTTTAATTCCTTAACTAACATCAAATTAAATTATTGGAAGTTGGGTCCTGAGTAACTGTGGATATGGGTCTCATATACAGTTGTTTACTGCTCATCTGATCTACTTGAAAGCAGACAGCAGGTTATTCTGAGAGAATCTTAATGTTAATACTTCCTTCTTCAACATGCCTTCTGTTTCCTTCTTTGAAAGCTGCTGTCACTAGCTAATGTGAATCTTGCACTTGTAAATGCTGCTATGGCCCCATTTGCTGTTCACTTTATAACTATTTTGAAGACTTAAACAGCTCTGTTAACTTTGAGCATGCATTCTAATTTATTTTGCCAAGACACATCCTGTAAGTTTTGACATGGTCCACGCACTAAGCCTATAACCTTGTTGAGGTAAAACTTCAGAAAGAAAACTGATGAAATTGGAGTTTACAACAGAAAACAAGAATCGGAATAAACAGGTGTTTTGCACAAAAAAAAGGCAACCCTATATGTATGTCTGCAGCAGGTGAACAGCCAAGTTGCATTATTCTCTTTTTTTTCTAAGGAAGTTAGCAGAGATTGGTAGTATTATTCTCTTTCCTCTCTTGGTATTGCTCTGCAAGCTCTTTATTAAAGGTCGTCTTTTATGGAGTTTAATTTTTTTGGCAGTATGTATGTGTTGGGGATTAGCCTTTTGCAGTTTATGGTTCATGCATTAAAATTACTTACAGTTATGAAATCATTTATCTCTCCCCAGAGATCTCAAAGTGCTTTATTGAATTTAAGTGGGGTTCAATACAGCAACTTATGAGATGAAAGGCAGCAGCTGTTCAACTTCATGAGATAGTTTGAGATGAGAAGCAAAACCTACCCTTTTCAGTTATAATCTCTGTAAGGAATTGTACAGATAATGACATGAGTAGAATCTGGCCAGCACCCTAGGATGAATACTGCTATGTTTGAGATGCACAAGAGGCTCTTTCAGAGCTATAGATGGCTGGGATATAATGCTGTACTTGAGCGGTAACTTTGGTCTACTGCAGCAAGAGGTACAATCAGCATTACTTGCTCCAAGTCAAATTGTTGTCAATCCTGCACAGTAGGTAGGTGCTCTATGCTTCCCTTATAGTCATGTGTTGTTCTGTTGCTTAGCTTTGGTACCAAGGAAGTTAAACAGAGGCCTTGTTGAAAGTTCAGACTTCATTTCCTTATTCTCCATGTCTAAGGCTGAAGAACAGAAAAACAGCACCGTGTGTGAATCCTTCTGCAAGGTCATGAGGCTAGTGTCATGCACTTCTTCTACACGCTCCTTTTCTGGCCTTGTGGACCTGCTTGTAGCCCTGATGGGATCACAGCATGCTATGTATGCTCACATAAATAATGATCAGATCCTTGTGTTGAGCAGAGTAACTACGTTTGTGTGGAAGATCAGGAGTTTGACTGACATAAAACCAGCAGTACTTCAAAGGTTTATTTGTATTTGTTTTAATGTTAGCATCAGTGAAGAATGTTTCAGAGAGGGAGTAAACATCTGAAAGTATAAATTAAAAATGTCATGGCTTTTTTATCATGCTGGCACACTGCTCCATGTGCACATTGCTACAGTGAATTTGATGAGACACTGCTTAACAGAATTTTTTTTTTTTTTTTTTTTCAGGTACTTGCCTATTCTGTGGCCTGTTCTTGTGTGTCTGCTTTCAGTGTTGGAATCGTAGAAGCAGCTGAGGCGGAGGAAGCCATGAACAAGCTATGGACCTTAGTGGAAAATAGTCAGCAGGTCATAATTCAGTGTTTGGGCTTTGCTTCAGTTCTGTTTTTCTCTTGCCTATTTAATATTAGATACTGCTTTAACCAGATGGTTAACTTCAAGAAAATTATGTTGATCTACTTACAGCCTTAACTAACACTAAGCATGTTGTGCATACCATGCAATTACCAAGAGTGCCACTTGATCCATTGATGCATTGGCTGCAGATGTATAGCAATTGCCAGACAGTGAAATAAAACCACGTTTTTTATGTTTTATTGCATTTAGAAGGGAGTTTGATACTTCTGAGTTCTTCATGTCTTTAGTCCCTGCATCCTGCCAATTTTTGTCTCTTTTATAACATGTTTCTTTAGATTCTTTTTCTTGGAAGGAAAGTACATCTACTGTGCTCTTCTGAATTTTTGCTTTCCCTTAGCCTCCAGACAGTGCATCATAACCACAGCCATAGCTTCCTCCAGGTGTCTGTTTCATCCCTAGTGTCCTAGGGTTACCTTCTAAAAATGCCCAAAATAATCTGCATATTTCAGTGCATGTTCTTTTTTGTTAAAATGCTTGCCAGATAAAAAGAAGAAGGTGGGGGGAAGGCAACCATTTTGAATCAAAGCCTGCTAGTACACTAATCAACTGTTTAAAATGTTTATCTGGAAAATAGGAAGTCAGAACAAACTACCTTTGCTACAGCATTTCATCTTTGTATCAGAAAGTCTGCTCTAAAATAAAGGCTCCAGGCAATCTATGTGCCAAAGAGAATGTTACATCTCAGAAAGTCCTATGTCACAACATCAGAAAATACATGGAATAAGAAAGCATCCAGTATTTTAGACAAAGACATTATTTCTAATTATTGGGAAATAATAAATACTTAAGTCGTGTTTCAATAATGCTCAAAAGAATAGACTCCTTTGGAAAATGTCTTTTTCAATGTGTCTTTTTCACCTTACAGACCCACAGTTTTGCTTTAGCTCTAGGTGCAATAGTACATGGATTGTCAGCTTGTGGCCATGGGAAAGCTGAAGACCTGAGTAACAGGCTAATGCCAGCCTGGCTAAAAACTGTGCTTGCAGAGGTAAAGGAGCTTGAATGCATATCCTGTTTTTTGCAGGGGGTTGATTTTAAATGAACAGTAGGGGCATAATTTTCCTTGTTTCTGCAGGAGTGATGCTAGGAAAAGTTAAGACTATCTGAACATGCTTTTTCATTGATATGTGGAAGCAAAAATACATCTTTGGGCTGTTTGCTAAAGGGAAAAAAAAAACAATCTTCTGCTTGGATCATTTATGGGAAATGCTTATCTCAATGAGATCTTAATTTGGACAACTTTACTAATTTGGAACAATACCCAAGGATAAAATCTAGGTTATTAAATGACTTGCCTTGTGAAATTAGATGCTACTTTTCAGTAACAGAATGGAGGTTATAGTGGCTCAGTTGTTACAATAATTTTAATTTATCTCATTGTAACAAAAATTACATGTTTGAAATCAAACTCTAAACTTAAAAGAGAAAGATGGCAGCTGAAGGTAAGTATCAACAAAGAAACAGTGTTTCAGAGTTTAATTGTACTGCCATATTTTGTGGAATACAGACTGCTAGAAAGAAGTGATTTGTCAGGAGGAAATGCATGATGATTTCAGATTGGGGGGGAGGGGGAGCTCCATATAAAGCCTTCATTCACCAAGAGAGGGATGAATAATTATCCAGCATGCTGGAGTCTGACATTAAAAGGTTGTTGGGATGAGGTGCACAAGTGGTAGCAGTCATGGTTTTTAAGTTGGAAGAAATAAATATTTTGTCCTACACTAGTGTTGTGTGACTGCATTGATTCACTGATCTGGGATTACGCTTCCAGGGTTCTCCAACGATGCAGCGTCTGGCTGCTGTCAATGGGCTGGTTGCACTGGTGGGCTCTGAAGGAGGCATGATACAGGTAAGAACATGCCAGCAAGTGGTACTTTGTCTCTTCTAGAAATCTGGCTAGAAGGCAAGATGGAGTGACATCCTCTGCATTCTTACAGCAGTGGTTGTGTACTAGGGCATCCCATTTATGCAATAGTGAGTCATGTTGGGTATGAACCAAGTGGGATAGAATTACAATGTGTAAAATGTAATTTGTTTGTTCCATTTCCTCGTCTTATGGCCCATATACAGTGCCATTGGGGAAAAGTTTAGAGCCATGTAAGCTTTCTCTTTTTTTCCTCCACTCCCTCACAAAAAGGCATGTGTGCAAATGTAATCTCTTTTCAGCACCTACTCTCTGTTCTGTTCTTCCTTTTTCCTCCTTATAAAATTCACTTTTTCTTTTCCTTTTTCTCTGGTAGCTGAAATCTGAGAGCATTCAGTCCTCCCAGTTTCAAAGTAAGCTGAATGAGGTCATCAGAACCCTTACACAGGTAAGAAGGTAGCCTCCATTTCCTGCTTTGGATAACACACTAGGGTACTGTGACACCTTGCACAAACAGGCCAAATCCGTGTAAAGAAACTGCATAATGTCTGTGTCAATGCCTTTTGAATGAGGCAATATAGGGAAATCTTTCTAACTAGTGGTTCATTATCTTAACAGATAATCAGTTTTTCGGGGCAGATTGGCCTTCAGACAAATGCAGCAGGTCTTTTGGGACGCCTTCATATGTCCTGTTTGTCTTTTACCCAGAACAGGGCATCCGGTAAGATGCTTTATTATTGCTGCTTAAAGAACATACAGAACTAGCACCTATCTAAAAGGCAGCAAGGGACACATTAGACCATACAGGCTAGACATTGCAGCCTTATTAAATCACATGACAGCCTTTGAATCAGAGACATCACAGTCCTGCGTGCCAGACCTAAAGATTGGAACATGAATCAGGAATCAGTTTGCTCAATGGGATCCCCCGCATCTGCTTTCACTTGCAGTAACAAAGGAGGATTCTAAGTTGTTCTGGTCAAACTTGTATATTGCTTCTGTCTTTATTCTTTTGCAGAATAAATTGAAAAGAAGTTTTAGGCTGCCTATGGCACATGTGTTTGACATTATCTACTACATGCCCTGAGAACTGATTAATCTACTCTTTGTTTTAGCACTTGCCAGTGTATAAAAAAGCCAACACTTAAAAACTGGTCCATAACAAGAGCAAGCTGACTTTTCAGAAGTGTTTTTCTAGAAGAGATCTTCTCTGGTTAGCTGAAGTCAAAAACTAGTGTTTTGTTCCCTTTCAGTGTAGCACTTAGCACAGAAATGCATATTCTGTTGACACATCATTACCTTATGATGTTTCAGTATCCATTGGTAAAATAAAGGTAGGATTACACCATTGATGAAATACCAGTAATAGGGAACTAATGAAGTGGAAGCTATTCACTTCAGTGTGAACCAAGTTGGGAACCAATAATATCAAGTGCACATAAACTTCCTTATCAGAGAAAAAAGATTCTTGGGGTTTCTCCTTTTGTATAATCTTGGCACACACCTGTAGTTAGAAAGGTGTGGAATTGTATCTGTTGTATCAAACTTACTCAGCTTTTGAAGCTCTCCCTTTTAAAGACTGACTTGCAGTGGTGGATACCTTTTAAGGAGATTCTTATCCCTGGCTTTTCAGTTGGTCAGTTAATTTATTTTTTCAGGCCTGGCACCTCTCACCAACACCAATGTTTAGCTTGCCTTAAAAGTGGAAAGGCCAATGCTTCTATTGATAATCTTGTAGTCTCAATGCTTTGAGTCACTTAGAGAATTAGTTAGCTCAAACATAGCTCAGTTTGGCCTTTGAATTTACATGGGAGCTCGAGGTGATAATTTCTGCTGACATGTTTTAGTATATAAACAGTCTTTTTGTCTTCACAGTTCCTCCAGATTTTAGCTACTTGCCTGAAAACAGCTTTATCAGGGCAGCCATTGACTTTGCCATTGAAGGTGGAAAGAAAGGTAAGGAGGGATCAAACTACAGTATCGCTCTGGGAAATTTGTTATGACTATAAAAAGTGACCCTAATAACCCGCTTTTATTTGCTAAGAGAACTTTTCTAAATACTAATTTTAACATCACTAATGTGGGATATTTAATCTCTAAATGAAGAATTGAGTAACACTAGAAAAGATAAGGTAGAATTTTGTAGTTAGTGCTTTAGTTTTCCCCAATGAATTTTTATAACTTCTTAAACCCTTTCCCTCTTTCACTGTGAGATGATGTATCTTCCCTGTGGGAATGAAAGTCAAATCACTTTAAGTGTTAGCAAGTATCCTCAGGAATACTCCATCATCAGGCAGACTTACGCTGGATCCTAGGTTAAGATTCTCTGTAACAGAGTGGTTTTCAAACCACTGCTAAACCATAGCTACTGCTATGTGTGATAAATGCAAAGGAACCTGAAGAAAGTACGCTCTTACATGAGGAGTGCTAGTAAGACAGTTGTGTTGGAATACAGTCTCAAGGGACATAAAGCAGAGGAGATTATTCCTGTGTGGAGCTAAATGAGCTCGCTGCCATCCTGTGAAATAGGCTTTTCTTTCAACGGAGGTAAAAATTGCCCATGCCTTGCCTCCAGGAGGACTTCCACTGAGTTAACTCCGTGTGTTTCAGTAACACAGTATTGTAGCAAAGGTTAGCACCTGCCTGACAATTTTTGTGGCCTGCACCTACAGGATGAGGAAGGAGAACAGTGTCAAAAAACTTTCTCCTACTGTTCTCCTACTGACAAATGCAAAAATACTACGGTACTAGATGAGGAGTATCTCTAATTAATTCATAAATTAGTTCAAGGAGAAGGAACCAGAATGTCTGTCTTCATCAGTAACAAAAAGCCTTTCTTAGTTAGGACATAAATGTTACAAATACAACTGTTGATTACAAAAAAGAGATAGCTAATTCTCAGATATAGAAAGAAATAACTGTAATTTTATCATGCTTCTAATTTCTTCAATACAGATTGGTCTTCAGTGCAGTTGTTAACTTTTTTTCCTGAGCTGTTTAGCCAAATGTGTGTGTATAAAATTCAGACTGATTCTATCTGCTGTTGTAGGCCCTGAATCTGTCCCAACTGAGCTAGTGAAAGTAGCACTGGCACCCATTGCATTAGTTGGAGAAAGCCATCAGTATCCACCTGTAAACTGGGCATCCATTCTTTCTCCTTTGATGAGACTAAACTTTGGTAAGATTTACAGTTTTCTATTAAGTCATTTGTACTTGCCATAAGGCTTCTTTACTAACACAGCTTTCACAAACTTTAGAGCCCACTTCAGGGCTTGAAATTATTGCGGGGATTGAAGTGTTTACTATGCTTTCAAGACAAATTTTTTAATGTTTGTCAACATATATTTGTGATCACCATGTGGACACAGGTTTCTTTTAACTCAAGAAAAATCAGAGAAGATCAAAGTTGAGAAGTTTGGAGCAGTAAAGTTCCCTAATACACTGGTGAACTTAGACCAAATTTTTAATTTGAACTATTTACAGTAAGAAAAGCCCATCATGAAACTGAACTAATTGTATCTTATTTTCAGTACCCACTAAATGCTGGTCCAGTGCCTGTGTCAGAGACTGCAGGCAGCTTTATCACAAGTTGGAACTGTTCTGTAGTTCATCTAGCTATCACCAGTGTGAAATACACTTTCAATTAAATTACACTGGGTGACAGAGAAAACCATATCCCTTTTTCCATCATAATCCTGATTTTGTCAGTGCTTCTAAGAGCATTTTTTCTTTATGCTAGAGAGTAGCTTTGATCCTGAAGCATTGTGTTGGACAGCTTGCATAATGTTTTTCTACTTGGGATATGTCAGTGCCTATTTTAGTTGATACAAGTATCTGAGTTTCAAACTCATTTCCTTAAAAAAAAACCAACAAACTACTGCACAAAGTTCTGTATTCTCTTGTTTGATTCCGCTTGAGTTTTGTTTCTCCAGATTTATGTGACTGTTACTACTGGCCTTGCAGATTCTTTTACAAACGGATTGAGCAAATGCTGTTGTGTTTAAATTGATGTGTTGTAGAGCCCAAAATAGGGAAGGTTATTCTTCTTTCATTCTGGTGTTTATTTTACGTATACAGACCACTAGAAATCATTGAACATTGTCCTGTCATGAACAACTACTTGCTAGGTGCAGAAAGATTCAGCTACTTATTAAACATTTTTTCTTATACTTGAGCTGCAACTTCTGTTTTACTTGGTGTTCTTGCAATTGATTGTAAAGTCTTTTATAAGAATAAGTGAATTTCCTATACTGAGCCCTGCAGTCCCTGCTGATGCGAAGTTGTGTGCAACCTTATGAATAGCTGAAACTTGTTAAATGTATGGGGGATTTTTTTATTCCTGTTTTTCACTTAGGAGTCTTACTTTTGTAAATCAGGGGAATTCCAGAGGAAACAGTATATCGGTTTTGTAGCTATGTTTTTATTGACATCAGACAGCATCACAGTCTACATTTTTATACATAATTTCTCCTGACTGTCCCTCTGTAGTGTTGTGGAAGTTGCACACCCTTCTCTCTAGATTATGTATACATCCAGAAGTAGGTCTGTGTGCTAATGTGCTAGCTAATGTGCTAGAATGTGTAATGCAGAATGGTTGTATTATGACCTAACAGCCCACCTAGAAATGTGGCACTCTTAACACACTTTTTCCGGAACATCTATATCATGAATATTTTTATGAAAATTAAACTATATGCCCAATTCTCTCAGATTCTCTAGGTCACTGTTATTGATGTCTGAGAATTCATGACTTTTTTTTATGAACCTTAAGTATTTCACAAATTCTACTGTGAAGATTTGTTCATTTGTAAACATATTGAAGACAACAGAATGCTTTCCCATCTTACAAGGTTTATTGCGGTTGTTGCTGAGCAGAAGCCGTATAATGTGATTGAAGTAGCACCTGTTTGTTATTCAGTAGTGCTCTGAAGTGAACAGTCATAGACAAATCATAATCCATATCTTAGCAGTCCAAGCTAGTGAGAGAGAATTTTTAATTGGTTACCAAAGTATCTTGTTACAATTTCACCCTTTCTAAGTTCTGCAGATGACTTAACTTCTTGCATAAGATATTTTCTTTCAAAGAGCCTGATACTAGAGTCTTAAATCTTTGCTTTGTTCATGCACTAGTATTAGTGAACTTCGTAAAAGTTATGCTATATAGATTGCCACTTGCATTACTGAAAGAACATTTTAACTTGCAAAGCACCTAATTAAGTTTTATGCTGACATTTAACAGTAATGTATCTTCTGTCTAACGGGTCAAATGCTAGTATAATACTTAAATTGTTTGTCCTAATGGTGCTGTAGCGATCATGAGCTATATGGACACCATGCAATTGCTCAAAGTACCTCTTCAGTATATTTATGACTAGTTATTCTATTAAGAAACAGTCTGTACCAGTCATTAAGGGAAACCAATAAGGATTCCATAACCATCATAACTTCTATGCACAGTAAGGTCTTCTGGTGTGTTAACCTGGAGAATGCTGCAGTCGCCACCCACAGCTGTAACAGTGACTAACCACTGTTCTGTGACATATTATATGAACGTGGGGTATATGGAAGAGTGAACAAATGCTAATTACTCTTACATTTAGCAGGAAGGAATATTGACTCATTTCTCGTTCTGTAGATTAACTCTTGTCTTTATTTGGCAAGGATTTTTTTTAATTTTTACTTCTCGTGCCATTCCCATGTGTTTTGTTCTTGAGTGAGTTGAAAAAAACTTGGACAAATCCTGAGATTTCTTGATGAAAGTGCATGAATGCAAAGAGGAGATTTCTAACATGTAGGTGTTAAAAGCTTCAAGCAGCATCTCTAGAAAAGCAAATTTTAATGTAGTGCTCTAGTAGAACAATAACCCTCCTTTATTTTATGAGTCGAGAACAAATTTGAAGTGAAAATAATTTCTTCATAACTTCTGTTTGTTTTCTTTTGCTTAGGTGATGAGGTAAAACATCTCTGCCTTCAGCTGGCTGCAACACAGGCCCAGTCATCTCAAAATGCAGTGATGCTTTTGGGGATGTGGGTGGCACCTCCCCTTGTCTACAGTCTCAGTGTACGTGTGTGAGAAAATTTGTGGGACCTCAGCACCTCATTCCTATAAGATTCCTCAGTGATGATGTTTAGGATGTCTCACCAGAAAAGGATTACTGCATTCAGAATTCTGCAGAAATACTGTTTAGCAAATATTTATTGTGAGAGAAAGGCTGTTCTTCTGCCTTGAAATTCAAGGCAGACTTAAGGTCTACCACACTGGTTTTCCTTAGACTGCTTAAGACTTTTTTCCCTCTCTCTTATTTCATGCTGTAGCTCTGATAACCTAGAGATGCAAGAAGGCATGGCATGTAGGGAGAAAAAGTATCTTTTATTATACCAGCTGATAGTCTTAGAAAAAAGTCCACCCTATTTGTCCAAAAGCTTGCTTGCTTCTTCTAGCAATGTCTCTTGATCTATTAAAACATGTTACTTCTTGAAAACCTTGCTTTATTTCTGTAGTTAGTCAACAGACTAACCTATAGTATAGTCAAATTTGGGGTTATGCTCCATTATAGTGCAGTTCTTCTTATGGAGGTACAACATGGACTCCATGATACAGTATGTAAAACTCCCTGAATCCCACAGTGCATTTGACTGTGGAGTTCTGTCAACTTACACAAGTTGAGGAGCAGGATCATGATGATTCTCAGAAAATCCATTGTGGATTTCTGTGATCTTTTCCAGTTCTTCAAGGGGTATTTTTGTCTTGTAAATTTTAATTCATTAGTCTTCACAGATACACAAACGGCAGCAATTTTAGGATACATAATTAGTAAGGTACCAAAAAAAGAAAGATTTTATTTCTAAGCACCATTTCTTACTGCAGTGGGGATTTGAGGTCACAAAATTAGCTCAGTCACAGAGTATGTGAACTTTGGATTCCTTCAAGGTAATTACTCATTCTTCCTCACTAGCTAGCAATATTAATGGTGCTAGGAGTACCATGCTTTGGTCCTTGGCTGACAAGTCAGTTTGTATGGTTTATGTAGGAATGCAGTGTGCACCGTACAGAGAAAGTACAATTGTCCTGCCAGGACAGGGACAGGAGTTCAAATACATATCTAGAGTTCACTGAAAGGAAGTTTTTAAGGAAAAGAGTATATTGACATGTTTGAACTCTCTTTAATTCAAGTACTTCAGCAAAGGAGGGAAGAAGAATGGAGAATTATTTATGATTTGGAGTGCCTTTTTAGGTGGTGTTTGAGACACTTTTTTATAACGTCAATAGTTGAAGGTTAGTGAATAGCTAGAATCTGAAACTAAGCAAAAGTTTTTGCTTTTCAGGTGAAAACCCAGAAATATCTTTTCACATCCCTGCCCCTGTGGATGAAACACGTTGCAGAAGACAAACTGCAGTCTTTTACAGAAGTGTTTCTGATACAACAATTTGAAGTGAACTACCGTGCAAAAACTCCAGAAATTTGCCAGTGTGTTTTACAGGGGCTCCTGCAAGCAATGAAACTTCCAAACCTTGCCCAGTACTGCTGGAGCTTTCTGTGCCAGGCTGTGGAGAAAATATTTGCGCTTCTACCAAATGAGGTTCAGGTAAGGAATAAGTCTGAAGTGTATGAACATTGTAACTGGGTATTTTTACTGATGGTAAGTCCCATCTTTTTACACTGACCTGTCAAATTTGAAACATGAAGTAGATGTAAAATTTTTAGTGTTAATAGTTAAGATGCCTGCATAATTTCAATTTAAGTTACTTTCAGATATTCTTTAGAATATGACTAAGTTGTGAAGTGAATTTGGTAATTCACTCACAAATTGGTAAGGGAAAAATACAGTATTAGTACTGAAATAGATGTCATTGAAACAGAAGCAGAGAACAACCAGAAGGCTGC